GACAGCAATTCTGGTCACCTGACTCCAGCTGCAATTGTTCTCCTGCTGTCTGACTGCTCCTGCCTGTACAGCCGTGCAGCCCAGGAAGGAGGAAACTCTGTTTTGATTTAACAGTATTTGATTTAACTCTCTGTTTTTGATTTAGACTTCATATCTACAAACAAAACCCACTTGAAAGATGGAAACAAACAAACTCTTTCTTTTACTGTATCCTTAGAGCTCCTTTACTCCTTGTCACAACATCATTTCTCTCCCAACAGCTTAAAATTCAAGCTTAGGCCCAGGCCTAAAACAAAGTCTGTTGTTCAGAGCTCTCAACGCTCAAAAGAGCAGATGGTCTAATGTATTATCCAAGCAACTAAATGGGAAAAAAACAGGCTGCAGGTTCATCCATGATGAAATCAGACTAAGCAGAACCAGAGCATCCCTCCCAGAACACAAGCAGCAATACAGGAGATGGCTCCCACAGTTTAAACTCACTCTTCCACATCCCCCTTAACTTCCAGCTGTGAACAAACTGAGGGAAAAGCCGACCCCAAAGCCAAGCCCTCCCTCCTCCCACCCAGCACGTGCTGTGCCTGCACCTCGGAGGTGATGTCGATGAGAGTTTTGCGTGGGAGATCGCGGAGGTGTGTCTGGTGGTTTGTCAGCTGCTGCAGAAGCTGGATGCTCTCCAGCAGAGCTTTCCGGTCCTAGGAAGGAAAGACAAGCCAGAAACAGAGGATGTGCATCAGAGATGAAGCTGAAGGCTCACGTAATAATCCACTCTTAGGATGTTTATGCCTACTTGTAATAAAAACTATAGACAATAGTTTCCTAATAGGCCACTCAGCTTTTCCCAAATTGGTGTTTTCTGGCAGCGCATGACAACAGATCCCTTCTTTCCAGGAGAGGTAGGAATCTCCTGTACTACTCTGACACAGTTCCTACATTCTAGTCAGGAACAGACATTGAAAAGGCACAAAAAGTCCATGGGTAATGCAACAAAAAAGAACTGAGCTCGATGCTTCAAGTCCTGATGCATCCATGAGCCAACAACCCTTTCTCTGTGGATCCTCCTTCCCTCAGACAGCCCCAAACCAGAACTGACACACCCAACAGCAGTGCTACCTTCACGAGCCGCCCAGACTGGAACAGAGCCATAACTCCAAAAAAGTTCCCAAAAGCAGCATTTCTCACAAGTTTCTGAAAAGGAAAAACAAAACAGAAAAGGGATTAAAAACCCCCTTTAGTTACGTTTCACACCCAGCTACAGCTCTGCCATAGGGAGGTAACACACTGACAAGCAACCCCATACACGGTATTGAAGAACTGTCCTAGATTACCTCTTCATCACACAGGCAAATCTCAGCTAAAACAGGGACAAATGACAATGTCATCAACTTCCAGTTTTCACAAATATTTGTTATTTCATTAGAGTCATTTGCTTTAGCAAGAACCTTGAAACCACACAATGGAGCAAGACTTCAAGGAACAGAGAACAATTAGTTTGAAGCAGCAGTTTGGCAAATGCCCTGAGCTGACTCACCTTTTTCACTTTTTCCAGATTGTGTTTTTCTTTTATCTGTTCCAAGATGCTGCACAACGGAATCTCCTCAAAAGTCTGTAAAACCTGAGGAGAGAGATAGAATAGCTCATTTTGCAACTCTTCCATTTCATGAGGTTTTATTGGGTTCAGCTGAAATAGAGCCAAACAGTTGCTCAGCATAGCAGCAAATGTGCTGCTTTATTGGGCCAGAATAGAGACAACCAGATCAGTAAAGATGTGTCAGAACAGGAACAAGGCTGGGAGAGCTGGGGGGGTTCACCTGGGGAAGAGAAGGCTCCAAGGAGACTTCAGAGCCCCTTCCAGTGCCTAAAGGGGCTCCAAGAGAACAGGAGAAGGACTTGGGACAAGGGCCTGGAGGGACAGAACAAGGGAGAATGGCTTCCCACTGCCAGAGGGCAGGGTTAGATGGGATACTGGGAATTCTTGGCTGGGAGTGAGGTGAGGCCCTGGCACAAGTTGCCCAGAGAAGCTGTGGCTGCCCCATCCCTGGAAGTGTCCAAGGCCAGGTTGGACGGGGCTTGGAGTAACCTGGGATAGTGCAAGGTGTCCCTGCCCATGGCAAAGGGGTAGAACAAGATGACCTTTAAGGTCCCTTCCAACCCAAACCATTGTGTGATTCTGTGCAGACACAAATACACCTGCTGATATTCCTTTTTTTGTGTGTGTTTTCTTGTACGGGACATAACAGGTGAATAATGTGCACGTTTTACTGCAACTGCCAGATCGTGTAAGAGAAGCAACAAAACTCTTCAGCATGGGCAAGGCCCTGGTCAAAGTGGGAAACACACAGTCTTTTCTGCTTGATGAACTTCTCAGGTTAGCTGAGGTCAGATCTCACTGGTGACCCCAACTCCTGGGACTCTCTGCCAGGTTACAGACTCCACCAGCATGGAGGAAAAAATCCAAACTTTGAGATGTTTGTTAAAAGTTGTCTTTTCAGATCTCCCACATAAACCGCCAAAAGCAAGTCAGTTTTAAGAAATCACAGTAGCACTAAACGCAGCATATCTGAAAACCTGGTCAAAGTTTGCAAATTTGGGATGGCTCTTGAAGCAGGACAGAATTCTGTGGAACGAATATACCACTGGTATAGCTTATAATTTTACAAGTGCGTTGTTCCTAGAGCGGACGAACACCATTTAAAGCCAGTTTTCTATGACGAGAGCCTTCCCCTGCCATGTGCACGCAGAGCCGGCCGAGGGGACCCCAGGAGCTGCCCGGGGGCTGCAGAGCGCCGGGAAACACTGACCTGCGCCAGGGCCAGGCTGAAGCCAGGGCGGGCGGCCTCGCGGGTGGCTCCCAGTCCCTCCACCAGCCGCTTCAGGGTGTACTTGAGCTCATCGTCCTGCAAGAGAGACCCAGCTGAGCCGACTGCTGCCCGCGCCCGGCCCGGCCGGGGCCGCCCGCACCGGCGCGCTGCCAGAGGGGAGCGGAGGGCCGAGCCGGGCTCGGGGGTACCCACCCGCGCCCCCGCAGCCCCTCGGGCCCCGGCCTCACCTTCTTGCCCTGCCGCAGGTGCTGCAGGAGGTTCTCGGTGGCCGCCAGCCGCACCTCCTGCTCCGGCTTGGCGATGTCCCAGAAGAAGTCGAGGAAGGCGCGGCCCTGCCGCAGCACCCCGCGGGGGTCGGTCACCCCAACGCCCCGCTCCTCCATCCCTTCCATCCCTTCCATCTCCTCCGGCCCCGCCATCCCGGCCACGCCGCCGCCGCTGCCGCACGTGGGGCCGCCCGCCCGCTCCGCCTCTTCCGGGGCAGCGGCGGAACGGGCTCGGCTGCTGGGAGAGCCGCGGCCTCAGGGGCCCGGCAGCTCCGCGCTGTCCTCGCAGCCCGCTCCCTCATGGCCGCCCCGCTGCCCTCAGAGCCCATTCCCTCGCAGCCCGCTCCCTCATGGCCGCCCCGCTGCCCTCAGAGCCCATTCCCTCACAGCCCGCTCCCCTCATAGCCCATTCCCTCACAGCCCATTCCCTCACAGCCCGCTCCCTGCTGTCCTCACAGCCCGCTCCCTCATGGCCACCCTGCTGCCCTCAGAGCCCATTCCCTCACAGCCCATTCCCTCATAGCCCATTCCCTCATGGCTGCCCCTCAGCCCCGCTCCCCTCACTCCCCTCACAGCCCCGCTCCCTATAATAAGCCCCTCATCCCACAAAACCAAGTTCGTTTCCCCGCTGTGCAACAGGCCAATAACGACACAACATTTATTTATTCCAGAGCTGCGCAAGCCCCCGTGGTCGGTGTGTTCCACAAGCACCAGACTTTTTAGCGCCCTTATTTACACATTCAGTTAGTAACTTTCCAAATACATCCCGACTATTATGATTTATTAGTAATTTTCATGCAAGTCACATTACCCCAGGTAACCTCTTTACATGCTCAGGGGACGTGTCTTCACCTGGGCAGGGTCTTTTCGACCTGTAGGCGTGATTTTCAGTATTATAAGGAACATAGGTCAGCTATAGGATACATGGACCTGGAGGATTTTACCAAGTTAGCAATGTATATGTAGACACACATCAACATCTTGTTTTAATACATCCTTAAGGCTTGTTGCTTCCAGGATGCCCTTGAGTAAGAGATGCTTCTGCTGCCTGTTCTTCTCATTCGGTCTCTTTTCTTGCTGATGAGGCTGAAAGCATGCAAAGATCTTACATCAAAGAACATTCTTACTTCAGATAATCTTTCACATTTTGCAACAACCCCGCTTCCCTCAGGGCCATGCTCCCTCCCTGACCGTCAGCCCAGCACCACTGCAGGACTCGTTCATCCCTCTCCTGCTCCGAGGGATCCCTGGGCTCCCCTCACCCAGGGTTCTTAGTTCTGGAGGGAATTTTGGATCCTCTCCCCCCGAGGCTCAGTGGGGGCAGAGCCTGTAGGGTGAGCAGGGCACGGCAGCCGTGCAGGGTAAGAGGGACACGAGGTGTGGGCACCCTGCCAGGCTCCCGTGCACACCACAGGAGCACAGGGAATGAACGTGACCCCTAGGGCAGGATCCACCCCTGTGATCACTGTGATCCCCAGAAGGTGAATGTGACCCCTGGGGCAGGATCCATCTCTGTGATCCCTACAGGATGAACGTGACCCCTGGAGCAGGATCCACCTCCACGATCACTGCGCCCCCTGCCCCGCTCCCCCCGGCAGGGAGAGCAGGATGCTTGGGGACACAGGTGAAGCAGTGCCTGACCCACCGGGGCGGCTGAAACCACCTCAGCGCCGCGGGCCGGGCTCGTGTCAGCACCGAGCGCCCCGCGCCCACTGGAAGCGTTACCGCCCCCGGGCCGAGCCCGGGCAGACCCCAGGGGGATCCCGGGGCAGTTCCCGTGCCGATCCTCGGCACATCCCGGGCCGATCCCCGTCCCGGCACCGCCGCGATTCCGCACAGGCAGCAGCACGGGCAGCCCCGGCGGGGCGGAGAGCTGGCGACAGGCGCGGCGCGGGGCAGCCCCGGCCCGCGCGCCGCCGTATATAAGCGTTGCGGGGTCCTCGGGCGCGGTCCTGTCACGCTCGCACGGGGACGAGGCCGCGGCGGCGATGGCGGATTTCGATCCCTACGACGACCGGGCCTACAGCAGCTTCGGCGGCGGCCGCGGGTGAGCGGGGCCGGGGGTCGCGCCCGGGGGCTCCCCCCGCGCCGGGGGCGGCGGCGGGGAGCGGCGCCCCGCGCCCCCCGGCCGCGCGAGGCGGGGCCGCGGCCTGCCCCGCCGTGAGGGGATGGCGGGCGGGGGGAGCAGCCGCGGGGGCCGCCCAGGGCGCTGCGGGGCCCTTCCCGTGGCCGCGGCCGCTCCGCTTTGTGCGGCGGGTCCCGGGGGGGGTGGGGTCCCGGCCGTGCCCCCCGCGAGCCCCGCAGGGTTCGGGGCCGGGAGCGCCGGGAAAGGGCGGGAGGAGGAGGAGGAAGAGGAGGAGGAGGGGTGGGGGTGTTGGTGATCCCGCCGGCCGCAGGCGAGCGGAGCGGCGTTTTAGGGAGGTGCTGGGCCGGAGCCAGGGCGGGCCGGGAGGGGATCGCGCACCGGGAGGGGCGGAGGGAGCGTCCCCGGAGCGGGGAGAGCTGTGGAGGTGCCTGAGGAGGGAGGAAATGGGAGGGCTTTGTGGTGCCTCCGCTCGAGAAGCCGCCGTCCCGCGTTATCTGGGGTCCAGGTGCCGACTCCAAACCCCCGATCCTCAGGGACAGGGCTCGTCCCTGTCTCCTTGCTGGAGAGCGCGCGTAGGGGAGGAGCCACGGAGACAATAACCAGCAATTAGGAGTTTGTCTTGAATCAGGTTAGAGAGGTGCGATCGAACAATGGACCTTTTCGAAGGTTGGTGCTACCGTGGGTTTCTTTGTTGCACCAAAACAAAACAGCGGGCATAAAAACACGGAATAAACTTCCTGGTGGGCAAATCTTCCCACGTGTGTTACTGTATCACCTCATCTCCCAAGGTGTGTTTCCTGATTAACGCTGTTCGTGTCCTTTCCTGCTCTTAGAGGAATAACCTGGTTTCATTTCAGGCTCCTTGGGCAGCAGGGACGAGCTGCTGCTGGGGTTAGAACAGCAGTAAGTTTTCCTGTTTTTGAAAGCTCTCTGACCCTTAAGCTTTTCAAGCTCATTTTCATGCACAGATACCCTTTGTGTCTAATGCAGAGATGTCCCGGGGCAAACAGCTGATGTAGCCACTTGCACTTCTGTTGTTTTCTTTTTTAAATTCTGTAACAAAATAACCTTGCCAGTGGCCTAAAGTGGCACTTGACACATCATAAATGCAGATGTTGCTGCACGGGGTAGCCTAGTCAGTGTAGGCACGTTGTATGAAGTAATGAAATTACAGTTAAAATGCTATTTCACATTCAGATTTCTGTCACAGAGAACTTCCACCTTGCTCTCAGGCAACACCTGGATCCCTGTTTGGTGAGCTAAAGGCATCCTGCAGATTAGTGGATGCATTTACAGATGAGAAAATGTCCTTATTCTGATTTAGCTGCAGTTTTAAGCCTCAGACACTACTAATGTTAGAGTGCAACTTGTCCTTGCATCTGATTTAATACTGTTGCTAATAAGTTACTAACAGCTAACTCACAATTTCAGATCTTAACAAGTCTCTGTACTTTGTCTAAAGTCCTGTAATATGTGAAGTCTAATGAAAACATGACTGTTCTTCTTGAAGATTCTGATTAAAGAGTCCCATGTTCATTTAAAGTGGCTCCTACTCATTTTTAGGCGCTCTAGGAGTGTAAGAATAGTGTAAGCTCAGTTGAGATAGAGTAGTTTTCGTAAAAGTATCATTTTGCATAACCTTTGGTGTGTACAGAGAGTGAGATTTCAGCGTGACAGATGGGAAATCAGTGCCCAACAGGTTCTAACATATGTGAGATCTGCCTCTTTCTCATAATCTTCAAAATTATGGTGTAGGAGCACCAGAATGTGACTGTGGGGTGATGAGACAGTGTTTGGCTACACCTTGTGTCTGGTGGTGCTCTGATTCAGAGCTGGAGCACAACACTATGGGGCGCACAGGTCCCTTTATTCCAGATGAAGAACATGCTGCTGACATGAATTACAAGAAACTTGCTGTAAAGGCTCTTTGGGATGTGTTTTGGAGCCCAAAATTCGACACAACCCCCTGCAATTAATCATACTGAGGCCTAGCTGAAACTCTGAACATCTGCAGAGCTGAAGGGAACTGTTTATCACTCCTGACTTGCTGCTGGGTGGTTTATTTAGGTGTGGCTTGAAGCACCTTACTAAGGGTTAAGATTTCTCTGCTGAAATGCTGCTCAGCTCAGTGAGAGTGGAGAGTTAGTCCCTGTCCTTGGGGCAGTTTGTGGGTCCTGTGTCTCACCCATCCACTGTTATCTCCTAATTTTGAGCCTTGGGGAGGTTTTTTGTTGAAGACATCTGATGCTATAGAGGTGTCCTGGGTTGCTTAAATAAATGGACTATGAATTTAGAGCTGTGGTCTTGGAGGCTCCTGGCAGAACTTGCATCCTGCTGGTCCTTGCAGTGCCCCAGCAAAGCTCTAATGTTGAAATCCAGGTAGGCTCTTGCCTCTGGTAAATCCTGAGTGTTGATCCCCAGGGAAAGGCTCTTGCACTCCCAAACTGGCATTCCAATATATTTTGTTCTGAACTTTTGGCAGATCTTGTTTTCTAGAGAGAGAACTAAACTTTCCAAAAGTGTAGCTTCCAGGTGATAGCTCAGTTGTTCTTCCACCTCGTTAACTGTGCCCACCACAAGGTAAGTTCAGTCACAGGGGGGTTTGCTGGAAGCAAACTTTCCTCTTCAGCTCTTTGCCTTGGTTTTCTGGAAAGGAAATCAAATCCTGTCTTTCAGATTCCCACACTGAGATGACATAATTATTACCTAATTGTGTCTGAGCAAGTTACACTGAGTGGGAAATGCAGATATTCATTCAACGCTGGTGTGACCCAGTTCACTCGGTCCAGAGATGTTTTCAATTATTTTTTGACTTTTGTCGTATTCTGTTGTAAATGAGAGAATCTTCTTCCAATCTCATTGTTTGGTTACTGAAGTCGGCCCTTTGTTTAATTTATTTCACTGTTTCAGTATTGGAAAAATGCAGGGAAGCACAAAACCAGTTTTAGTGTTTCTATACTCTGGATTCAGTAGGAAGCAGTTTGGAACTTACTGACCATTCCCATTCCTCAGACAGAAACTGAGATACCAAATGCATAGTTCTGTGTCTGATAACGGAGGCCTTCATATCAAATTCAGAAAGAATAGTCCATTTCCTGACTCAGAATCAGTCAGATTTCACAACAGGGCCTGGATTGGCACACTGGCATCCCGAGAAGTTCTGCTGTGCTGTGGCACAAATGAGGTTTGTCTGTGGGGCAGAAAATCCTTTTGGGGATTGCGGGTGTGGCTCTTGGAGCGGCTCAAGTGGGGGTTGCTGAGGAAAGCTGAGATTCCAGCCCTTGCTCTCCTCCTTCTTCCCATCTTGGCACAGTGCTCTTTGCAGCTGTCCAGATCACCTTGTTGATCTGGCTGAGGATTCAGCTCCAGGGCGGGTTTTTGGGTGAATCAGCTCACTGAGGAGGTCACTGGCAGCTCAGGAACCTGCTGAGAATGTGCTCAAGGAGGGGATGCCCCTTTGAGACCCAGCTGGGGCAATTCTGATGTTCCTATAGAGCACTGATTTTTGTTTGTTTGTTTGTTTGCAAATTAAATGTATATTTTAATAGCTGTTCTTTATGCCATAGATGAGAATTAAGGACAAAGACACGGAGCTGAGTCTACATATTATGGAATTATTTAGAAGAGCAACTCAGCTTTCTTGGAGTTCCTCCTTAAAACTTGGTCTGAAGTTAATTCTGCTGTGCATTCACAGCACCAAGATTACAGCTTTAGTTCTCCAGTATGTTTTTGACTTGGTAATGAGACAAAGGCAGATGAGGAATATTGACAAAAATGCAAAAATACGAACCTGGGTGGACCCTAATTAAAGATATGTAGGTTGTGATTCAAGCATGTTTAGCAGCATGTTGGTAATGTTGGTGATAAATGATTCCTGCATGGAGCTGCTGCCATAAAAAGGCACAAATGACAGGCTCACCTAGGAAGAGCTAAGGAATCTTATTCAAGCTTAATGCATTATCCGATTCATTAGCAATAAAATATTTATTCTGGAATGAGGAAAAATACTGACAAGTACCCTGCTGGCCCAATGGATTTTCTGGCTGGGTGCAACCAGGCAGAATAAAAGGAAATAATAAAATTGTTTGACCTCCTGGATTTTAGGTAGGATTCTGCAGCAGTCTAATTGGTCCATGTCACATTGGCAAATCTGCTTTAGTACTGCTTGTGTTCCACTGGGCTCTTAAATGCACAGGGAGCCTCTGGGAAAGGGAACAAACGGGAGCAAAGCCCAGCAGAAGGCAGGTGATAAAGGGAAGATGGGCAGAGCAGCAGGGAGGCATCCCAAGTAAAGGTCAGGGATTGCTGAGGGAGGCAAATGGGGTTGGAACCAGTGGCATCCTGTAGTCTGCAAGTCCAAGAGCTTTATCTTCAGGTTAAAGTCTTGTTACCTTGCTCTCTGTCCAGGAGATCCAAGTTGGTTTGGCTCTACAGGGAGTCACACACAGATGTGTTAAATGGTACAGTAAAGAATTTAGCTGGGACAGTTTAGTTTAGACAGTTTTAGCTCTTCAGCCCCCAAAGCCACGAGCTTAACTGAGACTGAGGGATGAGACAGGGAAAGACCACCTTGTTTTAATTCATGACACAAAGGAAGAACTAAACTCCAGACAGCACTGAAATTGGGTTTTCTGCCTTAGAACCCCTTGCTCAACCAAGTTTTTTATTGTGTGTTTGATTCAAAGCATTCCAGTCCAGGTATGTGACAGTTATGACAACGACTTCAGACTTAGGAGAAGGTGTTTCCGTTTAAGCTAAATCTGAAATAATTCAGATGATTGGGGAGTGGGTGTTGAGAATATACTATTTAGTTAAAAGCATTGGATCCAGCTTAGTGTCAGGATGAAGTGACAAACCTGTGCCATACAAGTATTTCCTCACTGCTATAAATTATTCTTGACATTCCAGTCTAGGATGTTTTGAAGAAGTTCATTCATCACCTTGTTACTGAGCTCCTCTAATGCATTTAAGTACATTGTTCATTTGGTTTTTTCCATGGCAGTACTGCAGCAGGTAACAGTGGAAAGGAGCTGACCAGGAGTGAAGGTAGCAGGTGCAGGCAAAGGGCTGGACAAACTACCCGAGCTGTGTGACAGTCCCCTTGCAGGCAGTGCCACAGACTGGCTGTGCTGGGAGTCACTTCCAGGGCACTCTGCTTTTTCCAACAGGTCTCGTGGTGGTGGCCTTGGTTCCCGCAGAAATAAAGAGCTGCCAACAGAACCCCCTTTCACAGCCTATGTGGGAAATCTGCCCTTCAACACTGTCCAGGGAGACATAGATGCCATCTTCAAGGATCTCAGCATCAGGAGCGTGCGGCTAGTCAGGGACAAGGAAACAGATAAATTTAAAGGTCAGTGTTGCCACCTCGTTCAGCTGCAGATGGAGAACTGGGAGGAGAAAAGAAAGCCACTTCAGTGGGGAATTGCAGTCTAAAGCACAGTTGATCTTGGGCTCTTTATGTTGAATTATGCAGGTTTTTCATTTGGACAAGATTCACTGTTACTTCATCATCTCAAAGTACATCCTAAAGTACAACCTGAGTGACAGGAGTCAATATTTGCCCTGCCCTAAAGGGACTTTCTCACACCTTGTTTGTCTTGTACGAATTCTACCAGAGCTGAAGTGTCTGACCCATTTAAGACCCGTGACCTTAAGCATTGAGTACTTACACAATCTTTCTGTACTTCAGAAGGCTACCATTGCTTCAGCTCTGTCCCTTTTTAGGAGACAGGGAGAAAAAGCAAGTAGATAAACCATTCAGGCAACTCTCAGAGGATGTAAATCTAATTTCCACTGGAATTGGCCAGTGAAAAGGGACTATATTTGTCCCTTTGTTCCACCTTTAGGGGTGGAAAAGGCTTAACTTGAAGAGGATCTTTTTGAAAAGTAATAAATCCACTAAAATAATATGATGACACAAAATCACACTGCTGGCCAAGGAGGTATTCCAACTTGTTTTCAAAAAATACTAAGAAACAAGTGTCAACGTTCAGCTAAACAATTGTTTGAAGGTATAGACAGATCTAATCTGCAATGAGAACTGTGGAAAAGGACTCTTGGCATTCACACAGTGCCCAGAGTTCTGTTCCAGGATTTGCCCCATCATTAACAGGCACAGGTAAATGCATTCAGCGTTAATGCATCTTGCACTTAGCAAAGTTGGAAAGAGAGGGGACACCGTTAGCAGATGTGCAGGAGGAGCAGCTTCTTACAAAGGCCCTTTAAAGTGCTGTTAACTCGAGATTTGTGTTTTACAGGATTTTGTTACGTAGAGTTCGATGAGGTGGAGTCACTCAAGGAAGCTCTTACGTATGATGGTGCAGTAAGTACTCTTGCAATTAATTTGTGACATCAGAGATAAGCATGAGTCTCAAAACTCTTTTTACATCCTGAATGGATTCTCCCCTTGATTTAACAGCTCTTGGGTGACCGGTCACTCCGAGTGGACATAGCAGAAGGCAGGAAACAGGATAAAGGTGGCTTTGGCTTCAGAAAAGGTGGCGGGCCCGATGACAGAGGTGACTTCCATTTTTCTAAGTAGCTTCTCAAATATAATGGTTGTAGTTGTGTCTTCTGGTGCTGAGCTAATGCTAAGACAAGGCATGCAAGTGAACATGAAAATTATATTGCAAGGAGAAATTTGGCACATACAGGTTTCTAACCAGCTGTTGCTGCCGCTCCTGAGGTGTCTGGAATTTAGCTGTGCTTTGTGTCCAAAGGCTGGATGTGTTGTCACTCCTAGCCCAGGAAGTGAGACCAATACCCCTAATAACGTGCTGTGTCTTGCAGAGGACAATCATAAGCCCAGCAGTCTGATCTGCTACTATTTTATGATGATGTAAGAAAAGTGAGTAAGCACAAGCAGACAAATAGTTATTTTGGGCTGTGTCTCCAGTTCCAGCGTGAAGAGAGGCTTGGCTGTAGTTAAAGCTTGGTTGAACCAGACTCACTAAAGGTTTCCATTGAATGTCTGATAGGGAAACTTTTCTGACCATTTATTCTTGGTTCATTTAAACTGACTGTTTGTTCCTGTGCAATGGAACTTGGTAGTACTGAAAGGGAAGGATTTTTCAGCAGCATGGCTTTGGACATTGAAGGACTGAAACGGTGGTTTGGTATCCCCTTGCCCAGTCTTTCCCACAGCTTCAGATCTGAACACAATTGTGGCTTTTTTCCTAGGAATGGGAGGAGGTTCCCGAGAATCCAGAGGAGGTGGATGGGATTCCAGAGATGACTTCAATTCTGGTACCAGTATTCACACTTATACAGAGAGGGAGCCTAAAAGGCTCCGAAATGTTCTCATTTTCATTTGTCCCCAGTACTGCTTTGATTGAATCTACTGTATGTTCCCACTTGGACATCCTGCAGCTGTGGTGGGATTCCTCAGGGGGAATCTTCCATTGCCTCATAACAGAGGAGAGAGTCTTGATTGTAAATTCTGTGAAAGCACCCTAAGTGACAGAATACTTGTCCAGATGTAGCCCCTGGTGTCTGTTTTAAGCATTTCTCAAATATCTGGCTGAGTAAATTTCTCAATAGTAGCAGAAACAGACAAATCACGTGGAAAGGCTGATCCTTCTTCAGAGCAGAGGCTTTCACCTTCTTAGGGAGATGTGACATGTTATGTGTATTCCTGCAGAAACCGACTTCTCCAAAGATGGATTAGTGTTCTAAAATACTTCTAAATGGAAAATATTCCTGAACTTTTAGACCTGTTACAGTAATGCAAGCTGCAGCAAGTGACTGAGCTTGCTGGAGTGCAAGGTAGTGACAGAGCCACCGGGTTTGCTCCTGCCTTCCAGTCAGTTCCTCCCTATTAGAATCCAGAGTGGCATTAACAGAATTGCTTTTGTCCTCTGAACTCGTGGGTTTGGTCCATTTTCTGATGGGGAGATGTTGGCAAGTGCAACTTTGCAGTGTCTGGTCTCTGCGTGAGTGGAATGGACGATGTAGGAGCGAGCAGTGCCAGAGTGTGCCCTTGCCACCAGCATGGATGGGAAGTGTGATGCTGGAGAGAGGAGCTTGCTACAGCCCTGTGCTTAACCTGTCTTTGGAGCTAAGCATTCTGGTGCCACAGCTTCATACCTTCCTTGGCAGCTTCTCCAAATGTGGACTCACTTCAGCCTGTTAAATGCTGGACGAGCGATTCGTGAGCCAAGAGTTTAGCATTTAAGTCTTAGCTGCTACAGAAGCTTTTCTTCTCAGGTTGTACAGCCCTGGATCAAGTCTTTAAAGATGGTTTGTTTGGCACTGAAGTAAGTAAGGGACAGCTCTGCAACTCTGCCAAATACTGGAGTGGAAAGGAAAATCTCAGTTGGGAACCAAACAACTTTCTCTTCCAGGCAGCTTCTGAAAATCTGACTATATTCCCTTCCCTGTGCTGTTAACTTGAAGTATCCTCCTCCAGTTCAATGCAGGCAGTGGGGGCTTGGAGAGATATTCCAGGATAGTCACTGGTACAGACTGGAACTCTGGTCAGTGACAGACGGTTCTTGATTTTTTGATACAGTTTAAAATCTGATACCCCCTCCCCCCAATCCTTTAACTAGTCTAGTAAATGCCTTGTCACTTTATGGTACAGCTAAAAAGCCTTGGGGTTTTACTCTGTTCTGTAAGGACTGTGTATTTCACTACTCCCCAGCTATTTCCCCATTTGCTCTGCTCCTGCAGATTTCATGCTAAGGCTGCAGCCAGTGGGATCTTCTGGCTGCAGAAGTACTCTGAGTACTTGTAGTGCTGTCTCTGAAGTCAGCTAATGGTGTTAACAGTCTGAAGTTGCAGCTGAAGCTCATATTTTAAGCTCACTTGACCCACTCTCCAACACTCCAATAAGCCTCTAAGTGGATAAAGCACTTTCTGAACTTGGCATAGTGTACTTGGTTTCAAAGGGAATCTGAGTGACTCTTCCAGAATGTGTTAGACCTCTGTGAAGCAAATCTGTCTGCAGACAAAAGGCTCAGTGCACCACCTTGGACTGACCGCAGTGACTGGCGGGGCTTTCCAGTCATCCAGATAAAAGTCTAGATGCAAAACGTTGCAAAATACACTCTTTAAACCCACTGTCTTCCGTCTTCAGGATTCAAAGACGACGACTTCTTGGGAGGTCGGGGTAGAGGAACCCGCCCTGGAGACCGGCGACCACCGGGTGCCTCCATGGGGAGTGGTGGCACCGGTCGCTTCAGAGATGGGCCTCCCCTCCGTGGGTCTTCCATGGACTTCAGAGAGCCAACAGAAGGTAAACTCCTACCTCAACTGAGCCTTCCCTCGCGAGGGACTCTCGTGGTTCCTCCATCAGGTGGCAGCTCCTGCCCTTGGCAGGCGGATCTGAGCCCCGGAATGTCTTGTCTTTCAGAGGAAAGAGCACAGCGGCCCCGACTGCAGCTCAAACCTCGAACAGTCGATACTCCCCTCAATCAAGTAGCCAACCCAAACTCTGCGATCTTCGGCGGAGCCAAGCCCCGGGAGGAAGTAGTAAAAGAGCACGACTGAGTCTGGGGTTGGGAGGGAATGGGGAGGCGGGAGGAAAAGCAAGACAGTACAGAGTGACTAGCTCTGCTGGAATGTCAACCCTGCAGTTTACCATTCCTGCCATCTGGTATTTGTCCTCTTTGAAACCGAAAACACAGAGCTTGTGAATGCATGTCAGCTGTTAACAAGTGGTTTTTAGTACGTTCTTGGCTTTGCTGTATCTAGTGCCTGCTTTGTGCTGAGTTTCCCTCTTCTGTTTCCTTCCAAGCAGCACAGTTGCCAGTAGAAAAGGCAGTGTGGCTGCTTCCACGAGCGTGGAGGTCTCTGGACAAAGGTGCTGCTTCACTTCTTCCTTTTTGGGTTTGTTTTACTTTAGAAGCACAGGTTAGACTTAGTTATTTCCCTGTATCGTTTCCTTTTACTTCTCAGTGCTCCTCTTCTGACCTGCATGTCTCGTTCTGTATTGCTGTGGCTCTGAAGAGGAAAACTGAAGAGTCCAGATGAGTTGAACAGAGAAATGTCCAGTTCTAACCAAGCAGTGAAATACCATTTCTGACAATTGGTGATAGTTACTGTTCACAGCAGAGCCCCTTGTAAAGCTAAGGGGGGGCAGCTGCCCTTTCACAGGGGTTGCCAGGAGGGATCAGTTTAATGGATGCCTCGCCTGGCAAGCCTTGGGAATAGCTGGTGGAATCAGTCTGGATAAAGCCTCTGCCAGCAGCCTCTTCCTGCTGGCTGTTGACTTCCAAATGGTACGATACTACTACACCTCTGAGCTCAAGGTTAGTGCTGCAAAAACGTGCCTGTTTGAGCACAACTGCTCACTGGCTCTTTCTGCTTACTTTTTTGGGTTTTACATGTTTGGTAAATTTTTAAATGAAGTTTCTACCAATAAAATTGACTTTTTTATTTTTGTTGAAGGAGTGTATACTTTGCCACGCAGTATTTGATCGCCACTATCCCCTGTATTTCTTTGCCCAGTGGGGTACAGTTTTAGGACCTCAGCTTTTAGAATACCTTGAGAGTGGGCAGATTAGAAATCCTCCTGCTTTAGATTCTCCTGTAGAAGTTTGGGTAAAAAGCATCTCGTGTTGCTGCACCTCTTTTCACTTTCTTGCCGGTGTTGTGTGGGAGGAGGGAGGGGAGGCTGGAGCAAAAGGAGAGATCATTAATGTTGAAAACCAAAACCTGAGGTGTGGATGTGTCCAGTGCATGGGAAAAACTTGGGCTCCCAATGCCAGTGGGGAGAGCCTTCAGCTAGAACAGCCAGCACCCCAGAGCACTTGCAAGAGGAGTTTGGAAGCATGGCTGCCCCACTACCAGCACCACTGCTAGTGATGAATTTCTTCCCTAAAAGTTCCTGTTGTAAGTCAGAGTCCCAGCAATTTACAGAACTACTCTTTCCTTCCTTCTGCCTTTCACTTAATCTGCTTCTGAGATAAGAACCATTTGTCTAACACTAATACTTAATTTAAGACAGACATGCATTTGTGTGGTTGTATTCCAAACCAATAATTGATCTATTTACATCTTCAATGTGGAAAAGATTTTAAGAACAAATTCCCATATAAAAACTCACCTCTAGTCAAGACAGTTGACTTTTAAATGTAAAAACAAAGGAAAAAAAAAAAAAGAAATGAATTCCAAACACTTAACACATTCTGCTTCATAACAAAATAAATTTATGGATATGGTATTTTGTGAATGATCTTTTAAATAAAAGAAAACATTAAGTAATATTTAAGATTGGTCTTTATTTGAGTCTGCTCTAGCATGTTTTCCCCCCCTTCAGTTTTCAAATATTGTGTTAATTTGTACCAGAGCCATTCTGATACAAAATAAGGGGGGAAGAGGAAAAGATAAAGGGGAGGAATCTAATCTAAACAGTGCTGGAACAGTGAAGTAAAAATTGTTTATGGGTGGAAATGAGCCCGAGTTCTTTACTCTGTGGTTTCAGTGTCACTTCAGTGCCGTTGCTGAGGCTGCCAGGTGGGACTTGGGGGTGCTACAGCTCCTCCTGCTGTGTCCCACAGGCTGGGTTTCTCCCAACTTTTCCAACTGACCTGTTTTCCATTAGACTTAACAGTTAAAGGCACTGTTGCCCTGTGGCTTTGAAATACGTGCTTATTGCAGGCTAAGTTAAAAGAGGTAGAGCCATGATTTTATTGAGGAAGTGAGCTCTCACCTCCCTGCTGGTTTTACTGCTTTCCATGGCCTGAAAGGATGAGAAGTTCTTGCCTCTGGCTACTCAGTCCACCTTCTCTTTGGACCTCCTAGCACAGCTTGAGCAGAGTCCCAGCCCTGCTCTGGAGCCTCTGGGTGTCCTCCCTGACCCCACCCGAGGTGTGTGTGCAAGGGCAGGGCTGGCTGGGGGAGCTGCTGCCACAGCTGGGCTGTCAAACCCAGTGGTGGAAGCAGTGATTTCACCCCTGCGTGCAGGAAAGGAGCCCTGATTTGTGAGAGAGGTGGCAAATGGCTCATCTTGGTTCTGGAAATCTTTTTCTGTATCTGCCAATATTGGTTTGGTGAAGGGTTTCCCACTAGTGAATGCAGCCTGATCCCAACATCATTTAAGCACCTTTTCTTTTCCTTTTTGTAGTTCTTCATGCGCAAACATTCATGGTTTCTTTGGAGCATTCCACACTGTGCTTCCCATGCAGCTCAGGGTCAGACTCCTCCAGTCCTTTTTCTTTCCCTCCTTCCAAATTTTAACCTGATGAACGTTTTCCTCCACAGAAGCCCATCAAACCACCTTGTGTCAACAGTTGACACAACTGTATTTAATATGTGGGTGTGGCATTTCGGTTCTGTAGGAGGAAGCAAGATTATGTTCTCCCCATCCCACCAGCAAAAAGCAGTTGAGGTTTAACCTGTAATGCTCAACTTTCTCTGCAGCTTAAAGCTAAGCCTGGCATGGCAAAGCCCTGACCGAGCAGGTACCAGCAGCGTAGCAAACAGATCATTCACTCTCTGGCTGTTCATGTTCTCACTGAGTTATTTCTAGTAGCTGTGCAGAGCTTTCTTGGAGCTTAAACTTAGAAAAATAAAAACTGAAGGTAGGAAGGCAGCAGGCAGTTATTGGAATTGAGTTTGCTGCTGCAGGAAGTGCTTTGGTGTGTCTCTCCGGTTGGGTTGCAGGTGGGGAAGGTGGGTGTCTGGAAGAGCTGTGGGACACTGCAGGAGTGAACAGCAGCTTCTAATGTGCTGCAAAACTCCCTGGCAACCACCAAAAATGAAACTCCACTGAGCTCCCAAGCCCACGAAGGCCCCTGGGAGAGCTCATCCCAGTCCTCAGGACAGCACTCAGTGCTGGCCCCGGGGGCATTGCTGACTTGCTGGGCTGTGCAAGCCTGGAGCAGCTCCTGAGGGTGCTCTTTGTGCTTGTGGCCATCAGGGTGGTTCTGATGGCTGAAGAAAGAGGTGGAGGAATGTTTACACACTCAAATGACAGGCTGGTGATGGTAGAGTCACGTTAAATTCATGCCCTCAAGTGTGGCTTTACAGGCCTTCCTGGGGCAGCAACAACTTGCTCACCTGCTCCTGAGATGTGCTGGCACTACTGAAAGAGTCTCCAGCGCTGACCATGAATTTCTGAAGTTCTGCAGGTGTCCCAGGGCTGGTGGTGATGGGGACTGTGGCCAAGCCTCGCAGTCCCAGGGCAGTTTTGGATGATGCTGTTATTTTGTACTTGTTTTATGAATACTGTGATAGTTTCAATCCTGACTTAGGCACACAGTCCGGTAGGAGCATTTGCTACCTGTAGTACTGGCTGCTGACTTGTCTTCAGGAAAGATGATAAAATGGTGAGAGTTTTAGAGCAAATCCTGCGATACTGCAATCCCTCCTTTTGTAGGAAAGATTTAATGCTAAAGCCAGCAAACCTTGGAATGCACATGCAGCTTCCAGAGCAGCCCGTGTGCCACTGCCTGGTTTGGGCAAAGCTGCTTGCAGTGACTTCACCAGGAACCCCCCTGCTGCCCCGGGTGTGTTCTGGGCACAGGCTGTGTGTGCCAGGTTGGCTTCGGTCACAGGTTTTCTGTCCCACCCTCGTTCCTTCTCCCTGCGTGGAATTATTGCCTCCTGGTTATTCCCACTGGCAGCAGGAAGGAGGGTGATGAGCTGTTAACGTTCAGCTTGAAATCAGTGTTGTGTTTTATGTTTTGCATTCGGATGGTCTCTGTGTTTCACTACCAGATGAGCACAAAGGCTCTGGAAGAACAGGGTTGCTCCTCCATCCTGGTGTATTCCAGCCTAGAATCAGTTCCTTTGTAGTTCTCAAGGGCTTCTCTGGGATGGACTCTCGGGATGAAATTTAGTAGGTGTTGCTTGTCCTAAATTTTCAGAAAGGGGAGTTCCTGTGGCTGAAGAGGAATTTGATTTCCAGCTGAGACTGGAATTTTCTCATCTGGAAGCTGACTCCTTCCTCTCAAAAGCCACTTAACCACTGCAGGAACCAAGTGTATTGAAAGTGGTAGAGAGCCATCTTTTATTTGGTGCATACATTTTCTCTATACAATGTGTAATTTATTCTGTTGTTCGGGGTACCACTCGCTATACAGTGTTAAACCAAAACGTTTAGGATGGTGTAATCATATTTTTGACCCTGCTTTCTGAAAGGCTTAAATCCTTCAGTGCCAGGCACTCGACTCAAGCCTGATGCACGTTAGGAACAGCAATATCTTGATGCCATTGTGTGTTCTGGACTAACTGGAGAAACACTCCCAAAACTCTGGGCGTGTGGCTGGCACCTCTCCCGGGTGTGAGGGACTGCAGGGGAGCTCTGCTGCTCCTCCTGTGTCTGACCACTGGAACCCAGCACAGATGGGCACAAGAAATGGGCACTCGGGTTCCGGTGGCACCTGGGGTGTCATGGGGTCAGTCTGAGATCGTGTTCCTCATCTCACTGTACCTGTTTGAGTGGCTAAATCACAGGCATTTTATGGTTTCCTCCTCCCTCGTGGCAGTGACTCTGTCCTGTGACATCTCCTGCTCAGTGTGACATCAGCTCCCCCCATTTCTGTCCCCTCTGCAGCAAAGTGCATCCAAGGGCTGTGAGGACTTACCTGTACACTCACTGATTCCCGTGTAAAGCTCCAGAGTACCCCAGGGTTGATGTTTTGGGGGTGCTGTTGCCGGGAACTCTGCCACCACCTTTCTGCCCAGTAGGTTTCAGCCAGGTTAGTGTTCCCCGTGGCAGGGATTCGCTTCCTGCCACGAGATTGTTTCGTTCATGTCACCGTGCTCCCGAGATCTGCCTCTTTCTTTTAAATGAACCAAAAACTCACCAAGTACCTCTATAAACCCCTTGCAAAACCTGTACTGTAACAAATCTGTATAATTTGTATCGCTGTATAAAGATTCAAATAAAAGCATTCAAACCTTCTAGGTCTTTGTGTCCAGATTTCAGAATTACTGCGTCTGCAAGGACGAGCTAAGAAGGGGAAGAAGCTTTGTGGCTCCTTAGGGATGTTCAGGATCAGTCTTTGCAAACTTGGGCGAAGTTCTGTGAAGCACCAGGGGCTGTGAGCTGACTTTCCACTGGGTGGTAGCAGCATTTATCTTCCTTGGGCGGGAACGGAGCCGCTTTCGGTTTCGGCTCGGAGAGATCCGACAGTGCAGCTGGGGCAGGGGAGGAGGTGGCACTTCCCCTTTGCCTGGGGAAAGGCTCGTTCCACTCCAGCGAAGAGAAAAACCGTCCCTTGGTGTATACAAACAGCCCCAGCACTGCTTCAGCGAGACAGAACGTTTCCTCCAAGGCCTGGCTTTGCGTTAAACCTGCTGTGAAAATTTAGCAAACTGGGTAATTAGTGGGATGAGACACGTGCTCATCCTGCCCCGGAGCTCAGCGGGGTTTGGGCGCCGATCTGCTGCACAGCAAGCAATGCTTGATTCACAAAGCTTGTGAGCTTGGGGAGAAAAAAAAGCCTGTGTGAGCTTGGAAAACCTGGTGGAGCTTTCTCAAACCTTCCAGCGTCGGGCGTGTTTGTGCAGAAGGTCAGGGTTAGGTGATGCACCCTTTTCCAGTCCTTGTTTCAGGGCTAATTTCTAATCAGTGTGAGTCACAACACCTGGTCTCTGAGCAGCCCCCACCTTTATCTGAAAGGATTTAACCCGGGTTTTGGGGTTCTGAGCTTCCCAGACCCCAGCTAAGCTGGGCAGGGGGGAAGGTGGGTTCTCATGACCTCTCTGGATCAAGAGATCTCTCTTCAGCTGCTCAGCTTTATACCAAAAGGTAAAACAGCAGGTTTGGTTGGCTGGGGAAACTGCCTGAAGGATTAGAAGTATGTGTGTGTTATGGGGGGGGGGAACCAAACCTGAGCTGAGATGGGTGAGCTTAGAAAAGGACATGAAGGGTGAAATGTAAGGTGGTGTTTTCTATAACTGATTGCAGTAGACAAAATCGTGGTGCTCCTGCCTCTCTGACCTGTTATCAGACCAGAAATGGCTTCTAGCAGCAGGTTTAGATGAGGCAGAGGGTTCCAGGAGGGAGAGGATGGACACAGCGCAGAGCCTGGGATCCCAAGCTGGGTTTGGTGCCTGAGGGGTCGTTCTGGGCGTGTTGGAGGGGCTGGGTCTGGCCTCAGGAAGAGCAAAGCCCGTGGATGTGCTGGGAGGTGCTTGGAGTGAGGGCTCTCATCCTAAACCTCTACATGCAGCCCTTCTGAGGAGACACAAGAAAAAGGGAGACACACAGCGTGTGTGTTACTGCAGTAATTACCCTCTCATCAAGGGGGTTGGC